TTCAGTATATTTTGTAACGCAGCTAGGATAAGGCTGCCCGTAAAATATCAAACTGTTCAATCTGTAGTAAGTAACTTCTCTGAACTACCTAGATATGACGTCATAATAGAATATGAAGTCAAGTCACTGCATACTTGAGCTGACATGACGCCGGGAAAGTGTCATAATTATAACATGGCATGTAGATTAAAGTAGGTCTATACTCGCACTACGTCATTTACGAATAGTAAAACCTGAACCGCGCTTCCTTTTTCCGAGATGAGAGTTTTTAACTATATTGGTTTGACTTTTACTTAGTGTTTTAAATATCCGGTACCGATTTTGCTCGAAGTCGGTCGCGTCAACAAACACATATTCTACAGTTTAAGGATAAATTAATTAAAAAGAAAAGGCTGGGAACAACTTTGGGTTGACAGAAGTAATTAGGTAATAAAACGATATTTCTGTGAATGATGCATGTTTTATATGCCGCGTCGAAAACACGGACCATATACCATGTATACATGCTACATCAGAACATGTATCAAACTATCGAGGCGACTATTGTCGGCGGCCAAGTTGAAGCTAATAGTGATAATTCGGAAGAAAAGTAATGACTTCGATTTGACTTAGAAAATTTATGGATTTTACTAATCAAACATTACAAAATTTACTTTAAATGATAATAATTGCATAAAACACATACCCCCTCCCCCAACCTGCTTACCCACAAATTAATGCAAAATTATCTTTTGAAAAAGTATTTGACAAAAGTTGATTCACTTGCAGCATACTTTGTTACTTTCTGTAACAAAATTATCCAGTTTCTAAGAATCAGTGAATTACTTTCATTTTCATCGTCTCCTAAAGACAAGTGTGTTATATTTATTTGTTTTTTTTTTTTTTGAGTAAAATAAGATAAATTTTAGGGACAATAGGTTTTGGGTGTGTATAATTATTGTTTTAAATAATGTACAACCTTGTTAATACAAGTATACACTCAAACATTAACAGTATTACAGAAATATGTGGCAATATATTACTTCTGGAAGAAAGAAAATAGGGGGGTCCCTTTAGTGTAGAGCTCATACCACTTAAAGTAATGCGTCAACATATAATTTTTTTAAGCTTATTATTTTTCTTAGATATAATTTAGTAAAAATAATGCAAATTTACGAAGATTGAGTCCATAATTTTTTTTTAAATGACCGAGATTGTCCTGTGAAGCATATTTTCTCACATTAAATTTTGATACAATAGCCTAACAAAGTGCATCTATTTATGTTTATAATAATTCATGCAAAACAATGATATTTTATTGTTTAATAACATGTTTCTACTCTATTTTGGGTATTAAAGTTGAATATTTAGACTTAAATTAATTTATATATGTACAACAAAATCTAGGATAGGTAAAATTTCAGTATTTTACATTTCGGGGTATATACTCCGATAGGCTATAGCGGAAAAGTGAACATGTTGACATATAATTTTTCTTGTGTCTATCCATTGCTGGGATGTATGTCTATCTTATAAAAGCAGATTTTTAAAGATTGAGCCCATTTAGTGCCGAGTATAGAACTACCTTAAGCTTGAGTGTGCTGTTGTGATGTTTAAACATTTGAAATATAAATATCTTTATTCCTATCGCGTGTCCGATATGCACATATTCAAACAATAGCAAAATATTATGTGTGAAACGCTCCCCTTATACTTCCATAGACAGAGTTAGAATTTATGAATCGTGTTTATACTGGACTGGCACAAGTGACAAACAAGGACATATTGAAGATATTCTGTGTTAATCTACAAGAGAAGAATGTCATCTAACAGAATTTTGCTGGGGGATTGTTTGTAGTTTATCCATTTTTAGCTCACCTGAGCCGAAGGCTCAAGTGAGCTTTTCTGATCACATTTTGTCCGTCCGTCTGTCCGTCCGTTCGTTGTAAACTTTTCACATTTTCGACTTCTTCTCAAGAACCAATGGGCCAATTTTAACCAAAATTGGTACAAAGCATCCTTTGGTGAAGGGGAGTCTAAATTGCTAAAATGAAGGGCCAAGTCCTGTTACAAGGGGAGATAATCAAGAAAAGACAAAAATAGGGTTGGGTCACTAAAAAATTTTCTTCTCAAGAACCACTGGGCCAGAAAAGCTGAAACTTATGTGGAAGCATCCTTGGGTAGTGTAGATATTAAATTGTTAAAATCATGACCCCTGGGGGTAGGACGGGGCCACAATATGGAATCCAAGTTTTACATAGAAATATGTAGAACATATCGTTAAAAATCTTCTTCTCAAGAACCACTGGGCCAGGAAAGCTGAAACTTATGTGGGAGCATCCTTGGGTAGTGTAGATATTAAATTGTTAAAATCATGACCCCTGGGGGTAGGGCGGGGCCACAATATGGAATCCAAGTTTTACATAGAAATATGTAGAACATATCGTTAAAAATCTTCTTCTCAAGAACCACAGGGCCAAAAAAGCTGAAACATATGTGGAAGCATTTTGGGGTAGTGTAGATTCTAAATTTTTAAAATCATGACCCCTGGGGGTAGGGCGGGGCCACAATAGAAAATCCAAGTTTTACATAGAAATATGTAGAACATATCGTTAAAAATCTTCTTCTCAAGAACCACTTGGCCAAAAAAGCTGAAACATATGTGGAAGCATCCTTGGGTAGTGTAGATATTAAATTGTTAAAATCATGACCCTTGGGGTAGGGCGGGGCCACAATATGGAATCCAAGTTTTACATAGAAATATATAGAACAAATACTTAAAAATCTTCTTCTCAAGAACCACTGGGCCAGGAAAGCTGAAACTTATATGGAAGCATCCTTGGGTAGTGTAGATATTAAATTGTTAAAATCAAGAACCCCGGGGGTAGGGCGGGGCCACAATAGGAAATCCAAGTTTACATAGAAATATATAGAACAAATCTTTAAAAATCTTCTTCTCAAGAACCACTGGGCCAGGAAAGCTGAAACTTATGTGGTAGCATCCTTGGGTAGTGTAGATATTAAATTGTTAAAATCATGACCCCCGGGGGTAGGGCGGGGCCACAATAGGAAATCCAAATTTTACATAGAAATATATAGAACAAATCTTTTAAAATCTTCTTCTCAAGAACCACTGGGCCTCAAAAGCTGAAACTTATATGGAAGCATCCTGGAGAAGTGTAGATATTAAATTGTAAAAATCAAGAACCCCGGGGGTAGGGCGGGCCACAATAGGAAATCCAAGTTTTACATAGAGATTTATTGAACAAATCTTTTAAAATCTTCTTTTCAAGAACCACTAGGCCAGGAAAGCTGAAACTTATGTGGAAGCATCCTTGAGTAGTGTAGATATTAAATTGTTAAAATCATGACCCCCGAGGTTAGGGCGGGGCCACAATAGGGAATCCAAGTTTTACATAGAAATATATAGAACAAATCTTTGAAAATCTTCTTCTCAAGAACCACTTGGCCAGGAAAGCTGAAACTTATGTGGGAGCATCCTTTGGTAGTGTTAATATTAAATTGTAAAAATCATGACACCCGGGGGTAGGGTGGGGCCACAATAGGGAATCCAAGTTTTACATAGAGATTTATTGAACAAATCTTTTAAAATCTTCTTTTCAAGAACCACTAGGCCAGGAAAGCTGAAACTTATGTGGAAACATCCTTGAGTAGTGTAGATATTAAATTGTTAAAATCATGACCCATGGGCGTAGGACGGGGCCACAATGGGGAATCCAAGTTTTACTTAGAAATATATTAGAACAAATCTTTTAAAAAGATCTGCATCACCCAAGTTTCTCAGGTGAGCGATGTGGCCCATTGGCCTCTTGTTGTTTTATACGATTGAGTTTTCTGATACAATTTATTTAATTCATGCTTATTTTGTATTTTATTCAGAGTCTGGTCCACTTGGCCACCAGTGGGGATGGGGGCACCAACCCCTGCACAGAGGCTTCGGAGCGAGCTGCCCGGACCGTGATTTGACCAGCAAAGTTTCTTGTGAAAGTAACATTTCGAGGCAGGGATCGCTGCAGAGTTCTGTTGAAGCTTTCGACCTTTTGCGAGTTGGTGTTTTTGATTGTCCTGTCCAGTACAGCTGGAAACAACCTCTTAGAGATGCAGGCATGGAGCCTTGCCTCATTTTCCGCAGAAGACGGTATTGTAAAACCTTGACCTAAATAAGAACTCTTGCTAACCCAGTTATTTTTTACTTTCCCTTTGCACACCAGAGAGTGTTTTCTGCATGATGCATGATCTCCCATGTAACATTTCACTATTGCATGTTTGGCATATGAGAGCTTGTTTTTTAATTTATCTGCATCTCCAGCATATACTGCATGAGCTTGATTAATCTCAGCTGTACATCTGTCAAAACAGCATCTAGGGCAAGATTATGCAAAAGTTTGTTTCTTATTATTTTTTCTGCTTTAGTTCTCTTTGGCATGCTAAAACCTTTTTAGGGTTAAAATTTTCTGCATCTGATTATTTAATATTGCCTTTGATGAAATGTTTTGACTCATTATATAAGGATATACAAGTGTCGAGAGTCAATATAATGAAACAAAAACCTCAATACTGAAATGCTTTGAAATTTATATTTGCAATATGATATATAAAAAAGCAGCACCGTCCTTATAGAGGGAAACTTTACATGACTATTACTCCCTTGGTTTCCAACCAAACATGATGGGGCAGAGCTGTCAAGATGGTATGGTCAACATTTACATGCTTGCACGTGCGTGCACGTGGTTACCAAAAATCCAAAATGCTTACCTCGAGGCCATCTTTGTTTTTCAACCAAACAAGATGGGATTAAGAACATAGACAGGCATAATGGCCATGCACCCACTGCAATGAGTAAAATAGTGTAGACAAGATGATATAGTCATGCAAGTGAACTCATCCCCAATGGTATGGTGCATTCTGATTGACTTGGACAAGTGTCGAGTGTCAATATAGATCGACCGGCAGAGCTGTCCGGGTTGGTTACCTCCCTAACCTCGAGGCCATCCACACACCCCAGAACTACACTGATGGTTAGCAGTGCCCTCATCAAGTAAGTGGCCATGTTTTGAGCAAATTTTATTTTTACTAACCATTTTAACTATTTGATGTAACATTTTCAGCAAATGAGTACACAGTCTGTGTCGCCGGCTGGAGGGATGTCTCACCCACCCCCGAGTACAGGGGGTTATTGTACAGGCCATCTCACTGTACGGGGATGGCATGTAGGGAGTCACTTCCCCTTAAGGTGTTGACATCCACCAGCTGGCGACACCGGTTACTCATGTCAGCCTCATTAAGGTTTTTTCAATAATTGGCATAATTTTGTTTGATGTCTTTTGTAGAGACTTTTGGGTAGGAGGGGGAGTGTTGGGGAGGTATCCCATCATTGCCTATAGGGGTTTGACTGAAGCCAACTTAAAGCCCATAGTTAACAGTGGCAGCTTTCCTACCCGAGGATTTGGTCTCTACCTCCTTATACAGATTGTACCGCCTTGATACATATAGACACTTAGTACATCAAAGGCCCATCCGGCTTCCCAGACCACGCCTCTCTTCAGATGCAAGATCCCACTCAAGCTGTCCATCACACCCCGGATTCCCCTGCTGGTGGAGAGAGATCACCTCATTCCACATCTCGGCTGGTTTCCCAAGGTGTAGCAGTCAATGGGAATTTTGATTGGCCAGTCTAGGTAAATATACCATTTTTCATTTGCTGGAGACAAATGACAGTATACAGTGCATGAGAGCACATATCAGAGTTACTTCCCTTAGACTATCTAACAAGACAGGAAATTTTAACATCATATTACTTTAATTCTTTGAAATGAATGCTTCTGATTTCTTTTCTTATGTACCTATATGACTTTCAACTGCATGTATTACATTTTACTTTGCATGTATTCACATGTATTTACATGTAATAGTATGTAATATGTATCCCACCCTAGTAAGGTCCATTTTTCCCATATTTAGTCATGTAAAAGGTAAGTAAGACTTGATTTGTTAGAATTTTTATGAACTATTGCTCAATTATAAATGTTTTATACAAAATTTGACTTACTGTTCTGATTCATTTGTATTTAGGCACTTTGGAGGGCTTTCAACTTTCGGTCTCCTCGGCCTAAGGAGATGGTGGCACATGGGCCGCACGAGCATTTCCTGCCCTTCCGCAGCTATAGGAATTTCTGGAACCATCTGATGCAATTGCTGGGACAGTCTGTTGTACTTTGCAGGTAAAATTTTCACATCATTAATTTTCATTCCCTTCTTATGGGGCACATTTTGAGGTTTGAAACGATAGTTATGACCCTTTTTTAACTTTGGCATGGTTTTAATTCTCCTTGTTTAAACTTCAAATTCCCCAAAAAATGATAAATGGTCAGTGCTGTTTAAGGCTTCAGAGACTGAACTGTAATGTGTTATCAAAAATTGGGGTTTTCTGTAGCCTATGTTAATTATAAACAAAGAAGATGGGGGGCACCTGCTATATCTCCAATTTCCATTAGAAAGGGGGGTGATGAAGCTTTTCGCACATACTTAATCAGCAGGAAGGACCAGATAAGGATCATGTAGTATACTAGAAACATTAATGAATAACTCTTCATTATCATCAAAAAGTTTGCTAATTAGTCTATGTGAAATCTTAAAATTTTGCCTTATTAGCTAGATTTGCATTAAATTCTGCAGCTATTTTCAAATTCTGGGTGGAATCCACCCTTATGAAAAATTGACTCATATGTGATATTTTCTCATTTTATTTTCAATAAACAACAGAATCATGGCAATTTATCAACATTTTATTCATTACAGTCATCCATAAATCCAAATATGATCACAAGTCTGAAAGTCATTCACTAACTCTAACACGGTTGGCCGCAGTTGGGTGTCATCAGTTCAGAAGGTCACAGTATCCAAGACGCTGAGGTTGCAGGACTCAAATTTCATACGTGTACTCGGGTAAGTGTAAAGTCTTTAAAAATTACTATATTGACTAATTCCAAAGTAGGTAACAATATGAGTATAGGAATGAGAGTACCAAATCCCCGGATGTGCACATGGCTTTATTTGTGGCACAATGTAGATTCAAGGATTAAATAGGTAGGCATTATCTGATTGGCTAAATTCAGGTAAGTAATTATCTTAATTTTAAAGTAAAAATATTAATGTTTGAAATAAATGATGGAACAAGGAAATATTGTAGAAAGTATAGAAAAGGCAGGGGAAGTTTTAGGAGTGGGGGTTGATTTTTGGCATAGCATGTTATTTACTGCCAATCTCTATAAGTTGCGGAAAAGGGCAATTTTGACCTATAAACGCCATGGGACCCTATATTTCTTTCAGTATATTTTGTAAGTGCAAAGAACAAAGTTTCCAATGATACCAAGGATTTGTCTGAAATTACAATAGGTAAGTACTGAGAGGGCCTAAGATTTGTATTGAGTTCTATGGGAAATGAATTGGTACTCTTTTCCCAGACGTCACATGACGTCGTATGTTAGCCTGGTTCCCGAGGCCTTCCGATGTGCACGCACAGAAGGCCTGTTGTTTTAAATTTATTGTGCACTTGGAAGCACTTGATGTGTACTTGACAGAATCTCACCTCCTTCAGTTTCCTGATGGTCTCCGTCTGATCCTCCACAGGCATGCACTTTGCAATGTCAGCGTCCTACGTAACATCCAAGATGGCGGCCAATGCGGTATGTTTGTATAGTAAATGATACATCTTGCTCGATTAATAGCATTTTTAACTGCGTCATGTCCATTTTTTTCATTTATTTGACTAGAACTCAGTTCAATGATATTATTGAAACTGCCTTTTGGCCATGAATCACCTGATTTGACCTGCCAACCCACCTATGTACACCGATCAGCTGTTTACATGTAAATGGCATAGATCCAGTCTGATTAAAACCAGCCCCTTCTCCTTTCACTCTTCAGGGTCTGACAGGCATCAATAGGAGGTCATCTTCACACGACCTCTACAACTGACCAATCAGGTGAAAGGAGAAGGGGGCTGGTTTTAATCGAACTGGCATAGATCTGTATCAAAATACACCCAAATTTAACATTTAACGTCATGTCGATTTTTAGCTCACCTGAGCCGAAGGCTCAAGTGAGCTTTTCTGATCAAAATTTGTCCGTTGTCTGTCGTCGTTGTCGTAAACTTTTCACATTTTCATCTTCCTCTCAAGAACCACTGGGCGAATTTCAACCAAACTTGGCACAAAGTATCCTTGGGTGAAGGGGAATCAAGTTTTTTCTAATGAAGGGCCAGGCCCTTTTCCAAGGGGAGATAATTATGAATTAGAGAAAAATTAATGGGATTTTTAAAAAATCTTCTTCTCAATATAGAACCACTGGGCCAGGAAAGATGAAACTCATGTGGAACCATGATCAGGTAGTGTAGATTCAAGTTTGTTCAAATCATGACCCCATGGGGGTAGGGTGGGGCCAAAATGGCTAATCTTTTTTTTTTTACATAGGAATATATAGAAAAATCTTCTTCTCAAGAACCACTGGGCCAGGAAAGATGAAACTCATGTGGGATCATCCTCAGGTAGTGTAGATTCAATTTTGTTCAAATCATGACCCCTGGAGGTAGGGTGGGGCCAAAATGGCCGATCTTAATTTTACATAGGAATATATAGGAAAAATCTTTTAAAAATCTTCTTCTCAAGAACCTTTTGGTCAGGAAAGACGAAACTCATGTGGAATCATCCTCAGGTAGTGTAGTTTCAAGTTTGTTCAAATCATGACCCCAGGGGGTAGGGTGGGGCTAAAATTGCCGATCAAAGTTTTACATAGGAAAATATAGGAAAAATCTTATAATCTTCTTCTCAAGAACCACTGGGCCAGGAAAGATGAAACTCATGTGGAGTCATCCCCAGGTAGTGTAGATTCAAGTTTGTTCAAATCATGACCCCTGGAGGTAGGGTGGGGCCAAAATGGCCGACCCAAGTTTTACATAGGAATATATAGGAAATATCTTTAAAAATCCTTCTCAAGAACCACTGGGCCAGGAAAGATGAAACTCATGTGGAATCTTCCTGAGGTAGTGCAGATTCAAGTTTGTTCAAATCATGACCCTAGGGGCAAGGGTGGGGCCAAAATGGCCGACCCAAGTTTTACATAGGGATATATAGGGAAACCTTTTTAAAATCTTCTTTTCAAGCACTTCAAAGCTATGACTAGTGATATATATGGAATCATCCTCAGGTAGTGTAGATTCTAGTTTGTTCAAATGATGAACGCCTGGGGGGGGGGGGGAGCCAAAATCAAGCCCGATGTGCTCAGGTGAGCGAATATATGGAAAAATCTTTATCCACATTGCTCAGGTGAGCGATGTGGCCCATGGGCCTCTTGTTCTATTATACTAGGAGATCTTAATTACTTTATCAATATATGAAGAATGCTAGGTAACACTGTAGCTTGCAGTACATGATATAAAAGTAAAAATATCCCTTAGAAATAATATCTAGATACAACATAGTACTTAAGTAAGGAAATCTAATCATTTTTTTTTCAATGCATGAAAAATTACTTTGTTTTGGTGTAATGGTAACACACCTTATCCAAGCTGTAAAATGGGATGAGGAGATCCAGGTTCAATTCCTGGGAGCATTGTTCTTATCATGCATTGACAAATAAAAATGAGAAAATAAAATGGAATTTACAGAAAATTGAAAACTCAGGCATAATTCTATTAAAACAGCAGGGTTGAAGCAAACAATAAACAAACTAATCATGTTAATGCATTATTTCTAATTTAACAATCTTCGAAAGTTTAGATGATTTTAGTATGTCCTTTTTCTGGTTGAATCAACAAGTCTGTTATAATTATATTGGAGAAAATAGTTAATGATGCACATTTTATTACAAACTCTGAATATCTTGTATCAGAATTTGGATTGGATGCAAATCTGTCCGAGAAAGTAGCCAGCATTTTGGTATCTGGGTGAAATTATAAAGAATGTACACATTATTTAAGTGACCCTCATAAAGATCAGCAATTATAACTGACATTTGAACTAAGTAACTATGTAAATATAA